TCTTTCGTATAATCGTTTTGATGTTTGGTGTAAAACAATATCCAATTATTACAACTACTAATACAGATATATCAGCACATATATAAGCAATACGAAAATGATACTTTGGTGGTGGTGTAAAAAAGGACATTAAAACAAATATCATATATGGTAAGCCAAGGACAATAAGAGTATTACAAAGAACGAAAGTACGTTGCACAAGTCTTAATTCTCGTCGAGCATGAAATAGAGTATTATTTGATATAGTACGAAGACTGATTTGTTGAACATATCGAGTCAATTTAATATAAACAATAGTGATACCAAAATTTGGAATAGCATAGATAATTGCTGCTCCATAGACTACTGATACAGATAAACGAAGGGGTACTTGACACACTTGATTGTCAATATTGTAAGTAATCTGTCCAGTGACGAACAGTGGAACCATATCGATAATACAGACAATCCAAATTACACTTATTAGACAAAATTGAGTTTTAACTGTTCGCCATATAACTTTATTTGGATAGACTACAGATATATACTGATAAACGGCTGTTAATAAATATGAATAGTTCTGCAGACCATCTGTTACAAATGATAAAAAACCTAAGATGATACAGAATGAAGTATTATTTTCACTGCTCTTCTGTAAATCATGTTGTAGTGTGAATATTGCCATATTGAGTAAAACACAGCTGAAAAGAATTACAGCTATACATGAATTGCATACTAAAAGCAATTGTACCGATGAATATGTTTTATGTTTTATAATAATGAATAAATATAAAAGACCGAATATAATAGATAATGAAGTCGATATGATGCCAATAATATCGAAGGGAACAAACCATACTTCGGTCTGAATTAATGTTGAATCGTTTATGAAGTTTACCATTTCCATAGAATTTACAATTATTTATAATTGTAGATTAAAAATAGATAAATTTACCAAAAGTATTTCGAGACTTTCTATTATAATTCTATAAAGAAAAACTACAAGAATATTTTATATCATTGACAACAATAAAATTAAATTTTTTCTTGAAAAGGAAAAATGTCTTATTATTCTCTTTGAAGATATACCTAATTAAATATTATAATTGTGATGTCAGTTGTAAATAATTATTTATAGATTGTCAACAACAACATTTACTTATCTCACTGTAATTAAAATCTTTTCAATTTACTCTTTTTAGATAGTTCTTGTTATATTCAAAGTATAATTTATGTAAAGTTTTTTCTGTTAATTTGCTGTAATAGTTCTTCCGTATGTTGCAGCTGTAAATCTTATTGTCATCGGTTCAACTGGAGTTGATCGAGTAAATTTCTTTCGTATAATCGTTTTGATGTTTGGTGTAAAACAATATCCAATTATTACAACTACTAATACAGATATATCAGCACATATATAAGCAATACGAAAATGATACTTTGGTGGTGGTGTAAAAAAGGACATTAAAACAAATATCATATATGGTAAGCCAAGGACAATAAGAGTATTAC